CTGGTCATAACAAATGCATCTGAAGTGTAGAAAGAGGAACGTTCCTCAAATACTTAAAAAAAATCTTCAAAAGGGGAACTTGTGGAGACACATATAAGGATTTTAAGACCAAAATGACTTCAGATTGTAAACCTTGGGTGAAAAAAAGGGAATTTTGATTTTCCCTTTTATTTTTGGATTGTGTTAAATTTTTTACCTTAAATATTCACAATTCAAATTGCCAAAAAACAAATTTTGTATTTAAAATTTAGTATGTTTAATCTACTGTTTCTATAGAAAGTTTGCGCTCAACAATCTAAAATTCATTAAAAAATTCAATGAAATTCTATGAAATTTTTACGTCTTTTCATTATTTAAAAATTTACTTCAAACGTCCAAACTTCAAACGTTTTAGATATTCATTACTTTTAAATGATAAAAAATATTTTTTCTTCACATTTTGAGCTTTTAGATGTTTACTTCAAATATATCAGATTCCAAACGTGGTTTATATTTTAAAACTATTTCAAAAACTCGTTTGGTTAAGTAAAGGAGCTTTTAAATAGGTTGAATATTCAACTGATATTCAAAATTCAAATCTATTTTGAACATTTTATATTTTGGATAGTTAAAGTAAAATTCTAAAACTCAAAATGTTAAGGTTATTTAAAATTAAATATTTAAATCAAGATTCTTAATTCATAAAAATTTAAAACGTTTCAAAGTTGGATTTAAAAGTTTTTAAGCTAATTCTGAATAATTAAAAGACGAAAAATATTACTAAGCGATAGATTGTTGATCGTAAACTTTCCGAACAAACTGTACACTAAATACTCAAACGTTCAAATTATAAAAATCGTTTTTGGAAATTCAAATTTTGATTTTTTAAAGGTAAAAATCAAAATTATTGAAATTTCAAAACCTGTTTGGAAAATTTTGAAAATTGAGATTTTTGAACTAGAATATTAAATTTCAATACACCATATCAGTTTATTAGATATTTGAATAATATATAAACAATAAAAACTCAAAATCATTTTTAAACTCTGAATTGTTAAGTGTTACGCGGACTACAAAAATAGATCAAAAAGCGAGAACCAGAAGATTGTATCCTGAAAATCTGGTTATAAATCAGTGTTCAATGAATATTTGATATTTGTCACTCAAGAAGAAAAAGGACATGTCACATGACCCATACTCAAAAATCTTCCGTTTGTTTTAAGGAGGGGGTAAAGGTTCCACTTCTTTCAACAACAAATTTTGTTCATACAATACTACCTCAACCCTGTAAAGGTGTGCGCCTCCAACCCCTTTAAAATTTCGTATGGAAAATTTATGTCCCTTATCCTAAAATCAAGGAAGAATATCTCTTATTTGTAATAACTTGTCAAATTTCCTATTCCTAACCCCCAAAAATGACCTTGCTTTAGACCCACTGGGGGCTTCTGTACAGCCAACTGACCCTCTGCATTCTACTGCCCCCCCCCCCCCCCCCCCCCCTGTTACGAAATTCCTGGATCCGCCAATGCCTTGTTTGACTTCACACCAACAAAAGTGGGGGGGGGGGGGGCTATGGTAAAAATATGGAACGTCATCAATGCCTTATAGCATAAAACTATGCTTTCATTACGTCAATCTATCATTATGTGATGTGTACATATCTTTACGTTAAATCAATTTTTTATGGGGTGATGTAAAAATATCTTTACATCATGTCAATGTTGCATTACATGATGTAAACACATTCTTCTATTATGTCGGCACTTTATAACTTGAAGACCAAAGTTCATTATGTGATGTGAACATCTATTTACATTGTGTTAAAACTTAAAATCGTGAAATGAATGTTCTTTACATCATTTCATTTCTTTAATATGTGAGGTCAAAATTGCATTACTTCAAGTTATTTCTTTTAACATGTGTTCTATAATTAAACGTATTATTACATTAAGTCAAAGTCCATTCCCTTTTGTGAGTGAATATTTCTATTATAATAAAGCATTATTATGTTGGATGTTAATGTATCTTTATTTTACACCGAGGTCATCACAATGTGAGGTGTGTACATCTTACCTTTATGTCAGTGCTTTATTACGAAAGGTTTATAACATAATGTGAACATATATTATGGAGACAGTCCCGGCGTTCCATATTATATCAATACCTTATTACATTATGCCAAAACTCCATTCCTTTATGTGGATATTTAATAAGAATATGTTAACTCTTTCTTATGTGATTTAAAACTATCTTTACATTGTGTTAATTCTTTATCATGTTGATTACAAATGTTCGTTATATGTTGTAAAATACATTTACATTATGTCAAAGTTGATAACCGTGATTTCACGACTGAGAAGGGGGTGTGTTCCTGATTAATAAGGACGAATTACAGACACATTATATGAGAGGGGGGTGTCTGACTTACTCTTTTTGCCGACACAACTTTATCATAGACAATGTTCATTGAAATTCAGCCCCACTTTTTGCTGAAGTATAGCGGTAATGTAGTATATTTGGAACTTTTTTTTAGGACTGATCGAAGTTGCCCCCCTCCCTTATTTCATTCACGTCACTGGAATAAGTCATTTTTCAACCATTCCAGGACCAGAATTCTGTAACAAAAATCTACCAGATCCTTATTTAAATTAATTGACCATTCCTTAGTAAACATGGGCTCATATTAGTGGCGATCTTGGATTCTTGAAAAGAGTACCGGGTAGCTTAAGGGGGACGATATGGTGTCTATGTTGGGGACCAGGGGGTGAAAGCCCGGAAGCTCTAAGGCTTTAGATTTTTTTAATAAAACATTTTAACTTATTTCAGTTATACTTTATGTAAAACTAATGCAATGTCCTACAAAGTAAAACCAATTGATTAATTTCATGCATATTTTGGTCATTAAAGATGGGAGGGCGGGATCCACCCTCTCCCCACCGACCCACAAGTGCACGTATGACATACAATGTGTTTACACTTTTTTGAAAAAAAAGAGGGCAAAAGACTAATAAAAAGCTTAGGACAGTGTTTTGTAGTTAGATCAGAAGTTTCGGACTTTTCAAAATAATTCAATATAAAAAGAAAAATATTGCTGCGTGAAACATACTATTTAATTTGCGATAATTACATGAGATTAAACGGCTATTGAATTTCGACGTTAAAAAACAATCGTTGATAAAGATTCCATGGGAACATGATCCTATTAATGAATTTAACCTGATATTTAATTAAGAATTTATTAAGTCTTGTGTATAATTTATTTGATATGTTTTATTTTAAATTATTTGCATGTTTAACATATGTGTATTTAATATTGAAAACATAAAACGAACTTTAAGGCATAACCTAAATCTTACGTCAGACAATAATGAGTTGAAATATTCTAAGATATACGGACAAGAGGCTAAGCATTTTAGACACAATAAAATAATAATAATTTGTCAAAAAGTAATGTAAAATTGGCATCATGTAATAGATTCCCGTCGTCATGTAGCATATATACTGATAACAAAATATAGTAAAGAATTCGCCAGATGTGACAATTTTTTCACATCATGTAATGAAATTCTGACATCATGTTAATGCGACTTGATATTGAATTAAAGATAAATTCACATCATGTAATGAACTACTTAGACCTAATCGTAGAGAGTGCACATAATGTAATAATGAGTTGAAATTTTATAAAAACATCTTTACACCACGTAAAATTGTTTCGACTTAATGTCATAAAGAGCTGATATTATGCAATGGAAAGTTGAATTGAACATATTTTATTGAACAAAGTCAAAAGGATCGGACACAAGTTCAGTAACTTAGATAGTCCTCTCCTAATAAAACATTTTGTAAAATTGCCAAAATAAAAAAAAACATACATACATATGGTCTACTACATAAATTGTATACATCGTAGCAATAGAAAGGGGAAAAAAATAAATTCTTTTAATGTACAAATATAATTTGAGATAGTATAAAAAAAGGGAAACTTATTTTGAAAAACGACCACATTCATTCAAGAAGTTGAATAGTCCTGAAAAATTCAGCATTTTGTTCAATAGTAAGAGAATCATCGCCCCATAGCATTAAATGCACATCTATAACATGTAAATAATTAAATGACAATAGCTTATTCATTAAGGAATTTCTTGCTTTTACATAAACAGTGCGACATTTAACTCCGGACACGACATTTGTCCAGACTTTCGCCAACCTTTTTTCCAAAGATATGTGGAAACCATTTATGTCATCTTATGGGATTTTTTAAAACTTAACACATGAACCAAACTTTACACCTGATTATCTTCTAGGTAAAAAGATATTACACCTGAAATCAAGAAATCCCATGGGATAATGGTGGAATTTTTTCTCCTAACCAATATCCCACCATTATTCTGTGGGAGAAAAAGGTATTCTGTGGGATTTTTTCTCCCATAGAAGTTTGAAAATCCCATAAATGCTTTATAATGGGACAAAATCTCCCATATAATATTTGTATACAGAAAATAATCTCCCATCTCTTTATAAATGTGGGATTTATCCCATATTTATTTCAAAATAGAAAAAAATTCTCCCATGGGATTTTGAAACAACAGTTTTAAACCAAATAAAGAAAATATTGAACAGTTTAACTACCATTAATTATTTATTTTCATTTAAGTACTGTTCCGTGTAAGAGTCAGGCAGGGTCCCATGTAGGGGTTACACACTTTAATTTTTGAATCTGTTTATTTCTTCTCAATTTTCATTCAAATTAAACATATTTAAATATTTGAATAAGAAAAAGTTCATTTCTTTTGTATATTTGTGTTATTTACACTCAAGTTATATTGATGGATTTGGTTAAATTCCTATATAATATCATTAAAATTCATCCTTTTTGTATCAATAAAACATAGAAAAACATTATTGCATATAGTTTTCCATGATAAAAATATTTTCACCTTAGTATATGCTTTTATATAGAATTCTTGATTTTATGTGTGTTTTTCATGCTAACAAGTATACAGCTTCCAAAGTTAAGCCCCTTCCTCACATTTAACTGTAAGAGTTATCTCCCATTTCCCATAATGCAACAGGGCATCAGTAATGGATGCCTCCATTGAAAAATGTTCTATCAGTGTTTATACTTCAAATTGCTGTTCTTTTTCACCTTTGCATCCATCAGAAAAAAATTTGATTAGATTAAAAGACTGTAAGAGAGGTATTGTATCACATCTGTTGAAAAATGGGATTCGATCTGGCATGAAAGGAGAGGCTGATGTGTTCAGTGAAGCAGACCTAATATGTAAGCGTGTGGGACTTTTCACCGTTGAGGAAACATTTACGGTATGTCCCTATCACAGAGACTTTCTTGGTGTACATTGGCGCGCCAAGACCACTTGTCAGTATCCTAACCACCAGGGAAATGCCAAGCCGTATCGGAGTTTCAACTCTCTTATGTCTAAGCGGATGGTTTCCGAGTTTGGTACTTTAGTGCCTATAGGTTCTGGTAAGTTAATTTATATTCCCTTAGATAATTTAATCTAAATTAAAAAAATCACAGTCCTACAGTTTAATATCTTAATTTTTGAAGCTGTTTCCATGAGACAAGGCGGGGGTGGGGGGGGGGTGGGGGGGTCTCTTTATTAGCTAGTATATAAATGCAGTGATTTTACTATAAAATCCCATTTTTTAGCTTCTGATTTAATGATGCAGTGGTCATAAAAATCTAAAGATGCTAAATGGAAATCCTTTATACCTTGTTGAAGTAATCATGGTAATTAATAAATATGATAATTTGATTATCTAAAATCAGGGTTCTCAAATCCCATACAATCATGTTTAAGTGTATTTATTATATCAGTTAAATGAATGTTTACAAGTTTTAAAAATACATTCTTTTAAAATGACTAAAGTATACATGTAGACTAATTATGCATGTAAACATACTAGACAAATTGATTGATTTGATCAGCTCATGTTTTGATGATAATATTTTCTATTTAGATGTCAAATGCAATTTAGACCCAAATTAATACATGTAGTTCTTATGTGCTACATCTTCATAATGTATTTAACCACACACACACACATATATATATAAATAAACAATAAAATATTGAAGTTGATTGCAAGTTAAGCATTGTTAAGAAAAAAAGGAGCAATGATAAATCTTTTATAATTAATTTTAGGAATATGCAGAAAATGTCATGGAGATTATTTGAAGCTTCCTTCATCAATTGGAGAGGTAATGAGTCCATTCTTATATTTCAAGAGCTCTTTCACATCTACGGATTACTTGTATTTTTCTGTGCCTTCTTGTACGTGCCTCCTTGTTGAGTGAAATAAATTGCTACATTGTACTTCCATAGTTGCATATTTGTGATAGCAACCACACTACTTGAAATTACATTTAGAAATACCTAAAAAGAACCAGTAAAAATTACGGTACTTGAGAATAAGATTTTTTAAAAGAATTACTGATCTTGGGTAATATTCTCGGTATTTAAAGCCCATGTAAGTAACATAGCATAACATTTGGTTAAAAGATGTTTTTTAATGAAATGTTTGTGAAGCATAAAGTTCAAGTGGTGAAGTACAAGTCACCTTAATTCAGTTTTTACTTATCTAAAGTCGATTTACTGATAATCTGTACACTACAGTGAAAGTTTTTATAATTATAAGTAGAGTAGTCTATGCCGAATTTAAGTTTTAGATCCCAAAATTTAGATATAGTTCTATTGCTTCTTTATTTAATAAAAAAGGGTAAAGTTTTGATTCGCTGTTAAAAATATTTTAATGAAATAACCAATTTTAATTATATTTTAATTAAGATGTATCATGAATAGGTTGAAGCTCCCATGGAAGACAACCACGGCAACGATGAGACAGATATTGCAACCTCTATCCAAAACCAGCAGTCTACATGTACTGATGGTGTATGTATACAATTTTGATGTTGAATATTAATTGATAGTGAAAATATTTAGACTTTTTTTCAAAACAGTCATTCTGAGAATATGTTAATTCTTTAATATGATTTTATTACTATAATATCCATTATTTCTAAAACATAATAAAGGCTCAGACTGAAACAGAAGGTAATGAAGAATGGAGTGGTCGACTCCGTGCAAGAAGGACAGAAACCATATATGAAGTAAGTGTTGAACAAATTGAATATCATGTGAATGCTAGATATCTGAAGAAATTTTGTAATTTTATATTGATCTGTAAAAAGTATAGACAGTAGTTTAAGGAAAATCAAACCTGGAAGAAACAAAATATTTCAGTCTTTTGAAAAACAAGATGATCATAATTTGCTAATGCCCATTACTCAGTTTATTTATGTTTTTAAAAATTATTTTTTAAGGTGAAGTGTGTATACTCTAAATTCATTATTTTAAGGAATCACTGTCTAGTTAGTGTAGTATGCCAGGGCATCAACGATAGTGGGAAACATTGATAATTTGTATAACGTTCAAAGCCCGTTTTGCATAAATTATCCCATGTTTCCCACTATCGTTGACGTCCCTGGCATACTATACTAACTAGACAGTGATTCCTTATATTTCCATTTCATTGTGAAACAAAACTATAGATTTAGACTTTAAAAATATAGACTAATCGATTTAAATTACACGAGGACTCCCATGCCAATTTCAATAGTCCTCGCCCACTGACGTCAAACACAAAGGCAGCCGCACAAGATTTACATGCATATTTGGCCTCCTTAGCGTCAGACACATAGTTAGATGCGCACAGGATTTGCATGCATATTAGGCCCCCTTAGCTCCTGACCTATCGACCTGCCTAATTTACATTCCGACAGAATTATCAAGAAATAAACTCCCCAAACCTTCAAAGAGTTATCACAGAGAAAAAAAATTACAAATGGAAATACTGAGTGATACACTGCCATGTAGGATTAAGCTACCATAATGCATAGGGGTATCAAGTTTTAGCTTACAATCTTTGTAGTGGAAAATATCTTTATAAAGTTAAATTTTCTTCTTTGAAACAGTGCTCTAAACATAAAAGTAGAATTTGAAAATGAAACTATACATTTATGTTTGAAAGAGGTAGAGGCATCTTTTAAAACTATATATCATGTCATTAAAACCCAGCCTTCTCCCTTCAAAAGAGAACCATTTGAAGAGGTCAGGTTTGGTATTCATGATATGAATCCATAATTGCTACATTCACACTCAAATGAGCTCTGTAGCTCACACGTCTAACAAATATCACAAAACTAAAACTTTGTCTTCAAAATACATGGATAACATGCACAGAACTATAACAGGTATTGGGGGTTTCTCTCCATCCCACAAGTTTGATATGCTAAAAAGTCCTGGATCCATACCTGCATCATTTGTTCATATACATATATTTTGTTATTGTAGTAATGAATAATTATATGATATATATGTTTAATTTTGTAACAGAGTGATAGTCAGAGCAGTGCAGTTTGTAGTCAAGGTTCTAATTGGAGTCAGGAAGAGGAAGCCCTACCCCTTCATGAAATTCAGTTGACTGATGTGAACACAGCTATTAACATCCTAAGCCAGGGTCAAATTAGTCCATTGCGATCAAGACTCAATACAGAATTGATGAATACTAAAGAACGAACTCTAAGGTAAACAAGATATGTTTGTAAAACACTTATAAAACACTTATGCCCCCACCCCACAAATTGGAATTTTTCTAAGTCCAAGGGGCATAAATCTGTCAAAAATGGTGCTATTGTACCCAAAAAGAACTTGACCTAGATATTCATCTGATAAACCTGTATACCAAATTTCATTTCAGTATGTGCAACGGTTATGAAGAAAATGAACGGAAACTAAATGGGCCGACCGACAAACAGCAGCAAGGCAATATGCCCTCCCTTCTTCAAAGGGGGGAATAATTAATCACGTCAAGTAATAAAATTCTAATTACTTTTTTCATGCACAAGCAGTGAGTTTCTTTTGAAAATAATTTGCATGAGTAAGGATCCTTGTATATGATGATTGTCTTGCATAAAGCCCATTCACCATTAGAACTATATGCATTGTGACATTATCAGAAAATTAGCTCTAAAATTGATGTCATAAATGTTTGCCTTATTTTGCAAATCAATTGTAGTGTGAAAAGACATTATTTATTAAGGTATTTTTTTATAAAGTAGATGCCTAGAATAGGAACATACTGAAAAGTTTTGAGTGTAACAACTAAAGCATACTGTATAGTATTTATATACTAAATTATATATGTTACACCCCCTTGAAAGAAAGAAGGGCATATTGCTTTGCTGCTGTCTGTCGGCCGGTCAGTCTGTAGGTCCACCAAGTTTCCGTTCATTTTCTTCACAGCTGTTGCACATACTGAAATGAAATTTGGTATAAACAATAAAGCTTTATCATAAGAACATCTAAGTCAATTTTTGTTTTGGGTACAATCAAGCCATTTTTGACAGCCTTATGCCCCTTAGACAGAAAGATTCCTACTATTTCCTGTTTACGTTTATGTTCTTCGCAGTGGTTGCAGATATGGAAATGAAATTTGGTATATAGATATATCATAATATGTAGATCAAGTTTTGTTCTGGCTACTATCAAGCAATTTTTGACAGAGTTGTGCCCCTTGGAGTTAGGGAAGTTCTCATTATTTGCAGTTTCTGTTCATTTTCTGTTCATTTTCTTTGAACTTGGGGGGGGGGGGGGATGGTATATATAGGAGTCGGCTTGTCTGTCTGTCTGTGCAAACATGTCCATATCTTTCTCACAGAGGAACATTAGAATCTACTACTCCACTTAAAGACTGCCCATGACCTAAGGGTGTGTCATGACCTTGACCCAAGGTCATTTGGGGAAGAAGGTCACTGGAAGAAAAATTTCATAATTTGTGTCCGGTCCATATCTTTCTTATGGATAAACTTGGTAGGTTCTCATTTCACACAAAGAATGCCCATGACCTAAGGGTGTGTCATGACCTTTGGAGAAGTTCAAGGTCACTGGAAGACAATTTTTATAATTCGTGTCCGGTCCATATCTTTTTTATGGATAAGCTTGGTAGGTTCTCATTTCACACAAACATTCCTCATGATCTAAGGGTGTGTCATGAACTTGACCCAAGGTCATCTGTACATATTCAAGGTCACTAAAATAAAAATTGTATCATTCTTGTTTGGTACATATCTTTATTATGGAAAAACTTGAATCTACTACTTCAGACAAACATAGCTTATAACCTGAGGTTGTGTCATGACTTTGTACCAAAGTCATTTATGCAAGTTCAAGGTCACTGACAGAAAAAGTTCATAATTTGTGTTTGGTCTGTATATTTACTCAGTTATTTAGACTATTTTTTTTATTAGGCTGCGCCTTCGTTTCATTTATAAACAAATATATAATGAGCAACTACATTTGCACTAAAAATGTTTTAGCATTTTTTCTTCTCCTAGATCCATAAAATATTCATGATTTAGCACTTCTGAAAAACCCAGTGTTCTAACAATTTGATATCAAAGAGCCATTTTGCAATATTAAGTACTTCAGAGAAATAAGTAATCTTCAATCTGCAGTTTTGCATACAGGGAGCATAAGTTTTAGAAAGCAACTCAGACCTCTAGTTTCATATTTATTCAAAATTATGCTCAGGTGATACAGTGACCCATGGGCCTCATGCTAAAATTGGACTGAAATATAATTTCGGTCTTCTTCATGTCATATTCAATAGGTGTTTACTCTTCTAACAGCAGAAGAAAGAGTATTTTAAACAAAATGTTAAATATATCTTTATAATTTTTAGATACTACAAAAGGAAAGCACAGGAGACTTGCACAGCTCTTCTAGATGCCATTGCTCCTCATCAAGGAGAGATACTTAAGAAGATGACATTACCAAATTCGGAAGCTAATGATGATGACCTTTTTCGTGTTGTCGGTGAACTGTACCACAATATCAAGGATGCAGATGTGAAATGTCAACTTTTGTCTCTAATAGTAAATAGATGTTCAAAGGCTGAACTGTTGACAAGGTTTCCAGAGGTTACAAAGCATCAGATAGATAAAGCCAGGAGACATGCTTTCGTAAATGGTCCTGGATCAGGTGTTCAGCAAACAGTATCTTCTCAACACAGACAAAGAATCAATTTTGCAAAGTTACAGCATGCAGTGGAATTTTTCAGTGATCCATCATTCAACCAGATTTCATCATACACTACAAGGAACCTAAAGCTAGATTCTGGAGACACCTTAGTAATTCCTGATGTAGTTAGGACTATGATACATTCAAATTTGATCAAACTTTACAACACATACTGCGCCAGTAATAACTTTGAGCCTCTCAGTGAGTCCACTCTATATGAAGTCCTAAATGCATGCAGTGCATCAAAACGGAAGTGCCTGAAAGGACTTGATAACATTGCTGTTGATGGATCTTCTGCATTTGACAGTCTGACTAGCTTAGTTGATAAACTTGATGAGCCTCAGCAATGGAAAAAAGAACTGAAGGAAAAGCTGTTCAATGCTCGACTGTACTTAAAGACTGACTACAAGCTCCACATCAAGCGGGAAGATGAATGCGCTTTCCACTGCTTACAGTATGCACTTAGTGACCCCAAATCAAGCCATCTTAGTGTTTCATGTGACCATGAGCATAATAAGACCTGCAGCAGGTGTAACTTATTTGGTGAATCTGTCACGGAGATCCGCAAGGTCATCATAAAGTCTCCATCAGAAGAGCAAGAGGTACTATTGCAAGATTTGGAAATGTCCATAACACAAGTAGAGGACTGGAGATCACACATCATAAGAACTGTGAATCAGGATGACGGAAGGGTAGACGTGCTGCATAATCTGAACAACAACCAGGTTTTAGTGATTTTAGACTGGGCGATGAAATATTTGCCGCAGATGTACCGTGAGAAAATGAAAGACTTCTTTGGACAGAAAGGAGTACACTGGCATGTGTGTGTTGCAGTTTTCAAGGAACAAAATGGAAGTCTAGTGGTAAGCTAATATAAATATATATACATGGATAATATGCAGTTCACCTACACTTTCTTGGAACTTATTTCTTGAATATCATGGATATCTCAAATTAATTCATTCAAACCTGTAAGAATTAAATATCATTCAAGTTTTAAACTTGATACATGCATCCTCTCAAGTGTTCTGCATTCCCATGGAGTTTAAGATTAGAACACTTGACTGTGCACATGTAAAAATTATCGGGTATACATCTATCAATAGTAATTAAAGTTTAGTTGTCTGGTGTATTATGCATACTCCATGTGTATAGCATGTGAAAGATTGGGTTTTGTAAATGAGAAATGAAGTTACTTTACAGTTTGTGAACATATGCCTCATACAATTTTACTCTTTTGTAGCACAGGACTTTTACTCACATAATGGATTATGTGAAGCAGGACTTCTTTGCTGTTCTTTCATTACTAGAACATGCATTAGTAACTATTAAACAACAGCTGCCACACATTACGGAAGCTTACCTCAGATCAGACAATGCCGGATGCTACCATTGTGGGCAGTTATGGCTCTCCATACCATCATTGTCAGAAAGAACAGGTAACCTGTTTTCAGTTATGCACAATGCATACCTTGTAAGCATCTGAAAATGTTGCATTGAAATTTGTTCTTTCTTCAATAAATGGATATTTTTGTCTAGAAAATTGTGATTCTTTACATTATCATAAATTATACTTCTTACAGGAATGATTTTCTCATTCTCCTCACGTACAATATGTTTATATGAGATTCATAATACATGCATAAAAATGTTTTCTCTGAATTTATTTTTTTTTCAATGAAAATAAAGTTTGAATTTCTTTTTGGTGGGTAGTCATGTTGCGTCTCTTTGAACATTAATGCAAGCAAAAGTAAAATGTTCTTGAAAAAAGCTTCCTTGAAAATAAATGTATGCTGTAGTGAAATTTTTTTCATCAAATAAAAATACTATTGTATGTATTCTCAATTTTTCAGGAATAACTGTGAAGCGTTTTGACTACAGCGAAGCACAGAGTGGTAAAAGCTACTGTGATGCAAAAATCGCCCACATGAGATCAAAGATGAGGATTTTTTCTTCAGAGGGCCATAATATTTGTACAGCTATGCAGATGAAAGAGGCAATCGAGAGTGGTGCAGGAGTCAAGGGAACCTGCATTGCTGTTGTTGATGTTGATGTCACAAAGCAAACACTCACAAAGCATTCTTGGAAGGGAGTAAGCTTTATATCCAATATAGAATTCACCACGGCAGGGTTAAGAACATGGAAAGCATACAAAATTGGAGAGGGGTCCTTCAAAGATACAGAAAGTCTTCAGAAACTAGGTCATGCGCAATCTACTACCAGTTTAAAGATCCTAAGTGATTTCAACCACACTGAAGAACATGGCCAAATTCATCTTAGGGCACCAGAGAATCAACCAGAACCACGTGATGATCAATCTGATACCTCAGCAAATGACGATGATGGTGTTGAACCTTCAGGAACAGATTCTAAGTTATTCTTTTGTCCTGAATATGGATGTTTGAAGTCATATCAGACTTTTGAGAAGCTGAATGAGCATCTACTCATTGGAAATCATGTGTTTAAAAAAGTGTCAGAATCTTCTAGTGACAAAGCAAAGAAACTATGGGCCGAAAAATGTGATACTGTGTTGGCAGCTACCCGTCCTAGAGTTGATCATGAGTCCGAGGCTTCAGACAGTGTAGATGTGCCAGTTCTAGGATGGGCTTTGAAGAAAGAAAAGAGATACTGCAGATTTTCTCAAAAAGTGAAGAACTTCTTGACCGAGTTATTCAAAAAAGGAGAAGAAAGTGGTAGAAAGGAGAATCCAACAGCTGTTGCTCTGGAAATGCGAACTATGATGGAAGATGGAAGAAGGAAGTTCTCTCCATGTGAATGGTTACAGCCAAGTCAGATTTCTTCATTTTTTTCTCGACTTGCAATAAATTCCAACCAATCAAATGTACTTTGTGTGGACAAAAGTGAGTTAGTTTCAAGTGACAGTGATTTGTTAGCTGTTTTAGGTGAACTTCAAAATGAGGAAGTTTTCCAAAGCATATGTGATTGACATAAACAGATTACAGGAACCCTACTCCATTATTTCTGCATTTTGAATACTAGTATTACTGAGACTCATACTTACTTAGACAGGCAGATAGGTATTCTGGCAATCTCTTAGCAATGCAATGTATTTGATTTTATGTTTGCTGTGTTATTGTTATTTGAGTTTTTGCAATGATATTTTGATGCTGCACTATGACTATTGCCATTTTTAAAACCTAAAGTATTGTTTCTGTATAACTGTTTTTCTGTCCCCTAGTCTGCCCATCAAATGCATATTTTGTTTACCTCATTTTTAAAGAAACTATTCAAAGTATTTTTATCAAACTTCATCTACTGATACTGGTTAGTGTTAACAACTGCTTTAAACATTCTATTTTGTATTTATCTCATTTTCAAAGAAACTATTCTAGGTATTTGTATGTAGACATATATACAGATGCAAATTGTTGAGAAATATTAACTTTATACAAAAAGTATTACCTGACCTTAAATTTTTAAATTTTGCATTTAAATCAGTTTTAACAAAAATGTTGAATGTATTTTATCTTAACACATGGATTAATGTACATTTATGACAACTTGTATCAATGTTTCAACTTTTTATGCGCCCGGATCAATAGATCCGAGGTGTATATTGTTTTTGTCCTGTCTATTTATCTGTTTGTTTGTCTGTCTGTTGAAAACTTTAACCTTCGCCATAACTTTTGAACCTTGAGATATAGAGACTTCATATTTGGTATGGATACTTCACCAATTAAGCATATACAAATGACACCAAAGTCATCGACCTTGTGACCTTGACTGTGACCTTAATGCTAAAAATAGTTGTTTTCAAACTTTCGCCATAACTTTTGAGCCATAGGAGATACAGAGTATGCATACTCCACTTATATTGTTCTTTCAAATAACATTAAGATCATTGACCTTGTGACCTTGACTTTGACCTATATACTAAAAATAGTTTTTTGTAACTTTGTTGCTGCGGGGCTTGTAGTGTTTCACAAACGCATCTTGTTCATCTTGACTTTACTTATACATGTACTGTTTAAAAATATCAATTTTAAAGAAGCCTTCCAATATATTATATAAAATTAAATACACTGACACACATTAAGTGTGTCATAATTTTCTAATATTAACTTCCCCGTTACCTTGACCTCACTGTCCTAATTTTTTCCCTAATACCTAATCTTTCACACAGAAGCAAAGTAGATTAATTCCTTTTTATTTTATCTTAAAAGTGATTCATGGATGTTTTGTGGAAATGCGTCTAGTTATATGCAATGATAACTCCTCCTGAGTTAAGAAAAATCCGTTGTTTTAGGCTTTAGCTCATCTGATTTGAAACCTCAGCACAGCCTTTCTGTTAATATTTTGGCCATGTCATCTCTATATCATGAAAATATGCAAAGATTCCTTAGTCCTGTTGATTCAATTTTTTTTATTCAAATTGTATATCCTGCAGTTAGGTTTTATGGGCTAAAATTAAAATATTAAAAATAAATGTAGATTTTACATCACAATGTTACAAATGCACTGGATTTTGGTTTGTCTGAATGTTTGTTTAAATTTTCAACAATTGTTACCATGGCAACCAGAATTTTTCACTTATCTTTGATTTAATACTTCATTTTTTCAATAATTTGTATAATTTCTTTCTGCATTAAATGGAATCATTTTTCAAAAAAAATTTTTAATGGAAATTGTACATCATATGCATAGTGTTTGATTTCAGGAATTTTTGAAATATGTTAAAAACACCTTTTTTCGAATTGTAAAGTTTTTATTTAAAAAACGAAAAACGCAGAATTTGTATTTGATAATTCAAATCTCTTTTGCATGTAGTTTCTGAATTCATCAATGAATTTATGCATTCATAATGTTTTTTTCTGAAATTTCACTTTGAAACGACCAAAATTAAGGGTTTTTTGCCAAATTTCTCCATTGTGCTATTTATAGATTTCAAGATTCAGTATTACTGAGAGATGTTTGAAAAAAATAAAACTTTCTTTTTAAGAATAAGTAGACTTTTTATTATTGTTTTAGATAATAACAAGACTTTTTGAATAGAAATTGCTGTTTGTGGTGTATTTATATATCAAAATACACAAAAATTGTAATATTTATGCATAATTACTCATCGTTTCATGCAACAATGATATTCAGTTTGTTGCCATAGCAACAGTGACCAATGAAAAAAAATTTTATGCTGAAAGCTCAAGTCTGTAAACATACTTTTTATTTAAATCATGAAAAAGATCTTTCATCATGCTCATGTGCCACCCTCTGCCTGAATCTTACATGGAACAGTACTTGCCTGTTTGCTGCACTAAACTGATGGGTTTCCAATTAAAAAATCACATGAAATTGGGGCGTGCCATTCACTCTGAGATTCTCAAAGAGTTTTAAAACTTATTCAGATGAATAAACTGTAATAATTTGCCTATTTTTTACTGTAAATTTTCTTTGTATGATCCTGATCATGCCTTGTTTTTGTTCCAATGACAGCTGGAAATTATTTTACACATAACGAACCCGATCTGACAAATGAACAAGAAATAATGTTGAAAAAAAAATCAACCGTCTTCATTATGCACATTTACTGGTAGTTTGCATTAAAAATATTTAACAACCTTTTCACTAATTTCAAAACTTTTCATCTACACCTTAATTAGAAACATATCAATAATTTTTGACAGTTCATTGAACCCGTTCAAAAATAAACATGATGAAAGGGCATGGATCCAGAATATTTGCGGTGGTACTCTACTCAGTGTTTCATATCATCCAGAAGAAGACAAGTTTTCCTCAGTTCTGTTACTTCTTTAATAAAAGCACTCTGCTGATCTTTTACTTATTATTTTTGGTACATAAAATAACTATATGCACCATTGACATGGATTCAACTGATAAGTCACCTTAGGCCATTGCAAGTTTCTTCTTTGTTTAACATCTGTATGCACTTTGATTTTGGACACCCCATAACACATAAAATAAGAGATTCAGGCCACAGTTAGTTAATGCTCACTGTTAATACCAGCGCGGATGCAAATATAGCAGAATGATATTGGGTATTAAACTTTTACTTCAGCAATCTACATGTAATTTAAATAAGATGTTAGACAGGCACGCATACTCGCTAAACTGACTGTAGTGACTATGTGAGCAGATCTAACATCTAATTTTCACTAGATTGGTACTTCGGTGGCTTAAATTTATTCAACTTCTTTCATGAATTCAATTTTCTTATCATAAATGCATATTGTCAATTATTATGCTTCCTGTCAGTTTGTCTCTGTGACATAACCCATATACCCTACTATTCTTGCATTGTGTTCTTAGGATTTAAATACACTGTAGCATAAACATACTATACCGAAATAGTGGGTGGCACTGCACATGTAGCTCTCCCGTCTGTCAATATATATTATTTCGGAGAGCTACAGTTCTGCAGTACTTAACACTTCAGATGAAAAATTTAAAACATTCAAAATAATTCTTTTAAAATAGTTTCTTGCACCCCCCCCCCCTTCAGTCAAATACTATTCTCTTAAACTATCTGTACATTATACCTAAAGCATGGAAAGTTCAAAATTAAAGAAAAAGATTATGACGCACGTTGCACAAGGTGACATTATAATAAGGAAGCATAATAATAACATTAGTGTAGTTTTTTGCATGTACTATATGCCTACATGTATTATAGTAGTCAGGGTTTGACACATAGTGCTCTCGCCTCCGGCTTGTGCACCATGTGTCAAACCCTGACTACATTTTTCTTTTTAATGAAATATAGTTAATTAACAAGGCTTTCTTTTCATTCAATTCATGGGGTGAATGAAACATTAAGTCTTATTTGGTCGTTAGACTTGTTACTGGAGTTTTTATTTTTTTTATTAACACATACTTGAACATCTTAAATAATCTTTGTTGTAATATTTGAGTTTATAGTATGATATCATCATAATTGTTTTAAATGGGTAGGGGTGTTTTCAAACATTCATTTATAAATCAATATAGATTATAGAGAAAGTTTTTATTACTTCAGAACTATCAATTCAAAATTGTCTCAAAACCCCAACACAGGTAAAGTTTGACATCTGGGTATTTTACTGTGTATTAAACCACTTCCTGTGTATAGGTATTAGGAGACAGATGGCCACAGGTAGATTGGTAGCCCCAAAGGCATTCACACCTGTACAAAATAAGCCCCTCCCTCACCTGGAATTTACCACCCGGTAAAAAATCTCTGCCTTTGCATAGTGCATGCAAAATAAAACACTATTAAATGAATATGCACACTTCATGAGTTCCCTAGTTCATTTAATAAAGGTACGCATCCCTTCATTTTACATTTAAGGAAATATGCAAGGTACGTTACCTACTGATAATTTTTCAAAAAATTCTATACTTAAACTTATAATACATGTACCATATTAAATATTTTTAGACAAAAAATCAGCATGCATTTCCAGGGATTTTGAAAAGATATTAAAGTTTGAAAATTTTTGCATTATTCAAAGAAAAATGTACAAAAATTACAAAACATAAATTCCAGATTTTTTTTCATCAAAATTGTTTTAGAGGAGATTTACAAATCCATATATAGACAATAAAAATATTGCACACAGGTCCTTCCTTTCTTGGAACTCTTCAACTCTAGAGAAGAACCCAATTAACTACATTGCGTATGACCTTAAATGCCTGTTTATCAATTATGTAAGAGAAAAATAAATTAAAGAACTTGTTCTAATTGAAATAATGAAAAAAATCCTTATTTAAGCCTTTAAGTTTAATTTTTAATTAAGAAATTTGACAGATGAATAAAAAGAGTAATATACAATATAATACTTATTAAATTAATTCTCTAACTTAGTTCCATTCATTAGATATTCAATATTCAAGTCAACACTCTTTACATGAATGAATTATCAACAGTTTTGTCCTTAAAGTTTTCAATGGATCCACAGATCATGAGATGATGTCTCCTTTTATGTGTATGTATATATCTGTCACTGTGTATACTGAAAAAAAGAAAGTTGCTGTGTGATGAAAAGAATAATAAAGAAGTCTCTGATGAGACTGTAGCTCTGCTGGTCTGTATGCATAACAAAGAAAAAGAAGCACTTTGATTTGAAACTTAGCAACAGACAGCATTAAATAGAATTATGTATCTAAGTGTAGTCTACTTGTGTGCCACATTACATTGAAATCATACCAAAATTGTTGGTGGAGTAGCATATTAAAGGAATTTTATACAGAAATTTCTATTTTTAGTAACCATGGCAGCACCGTTCATTGAAATAAAAAAAAAAAACAATGCACTATGTACCTTAGTGCAGTCTACTTGTGTGCCAAGTTATATTGACATCAGAATGAAACAGAGGAGTAGTGTTTTGAAAAATTACAAATTGACCCAGTGCTTCTCTTGAAGAAGATTTTTCCTATATATTTCTATGTAAAACTTTGATTCCCTATTGTGGCCCCGACAACCCCCAGGGGTCATAATTTGAACAATTTAGAATCTACACTACCCCAGGATGCTTCCACATAAGTGTCAGGTTTTCTGGCCCTGTGGTTCTTGAGAAGAAGATTTTTTAATGATCCCACCCTATTTTTGTCTTTCTTAATTATATCCCCTTGTGAGAGGACCTGGCCCTTCATTTTAACAATTTAAATTCCCCTTCACCCAAGGATGCTTTGTACCAAGTTTGGTTAAAATTGGCCCATTGGTTCTTAAGAAGAAGTCGAAAATGTGGAAAGTTGACAGACGGACAAAATGTGATCAGAAAAGCTCACTTGAGCCTTTGGCTCAGGTGAGCTAAAAATGATCAAATTTGATTTTATTTCAATATTAAAGAAATAAAACTGCAGAATTCAATTGTAAATGGTTGGTTGCGTACTAATTATTCAAAGTAGTTTTTGTTGTATGGTTTGAAAAATTTTATTACATTGCATTCCTTAATTCTTTCTATTCTCACAAAGAATTACCTTTGCATTTCTTGTATTTACGAGGGGGACAAATCTTCAAGGTACATGTACACTATATGTCAGTATATATACCTTCATTTTCTGTTAAAGGAAAAATTAGAATAAATCATGCAATATCAATTACATGTATAATAACAAAGCATGGATTAAATTTTCACCAAATTTAGAAAATGAATTGAACATGTTGAGTATCAAACTATCAATCACTCAAATTTCTCAATCCAGCCAAAATGACTGACACTAAAATTCACCCTAAAGAGGACCAAGTATAAAAATATTAATTATTTTCATCTCTAAATATACCATAAATGAAACTTTGTGCATGTTCTGCATACATTTACCAGTATCTGTACTATAAGAGTTTTATGCCCTTGAGAATTTTTCATGATGTCAGATGATGCCATATTTCCATGTCTGTTTTTATACACCTGTCTTAAGACGGGACGTATTATGTTATACATGTATATAGGCTTTAATGTTCGTCCGTCCATCTGTCCTTTCGTGTCCGGCTCATAAATTGAATACTATTAGGCCTAGGATTGTCAACTAATACTTCTTGGGTAGACGGTGTGACACGCACAAAAAGTAGGTTGCTCTGACCTTTAATAAAGATGCTATGGTCAAATATGGAAAAATCCTGTCCGGCCTATTTCAAGGTCACTGTGACCTCTTAGTTGCTTGTGTTAATTAAGAGTTCTTGATGGCTATATTCCAGATAAAGATCTTTCAATTGATTTAATGTAATTAAAAGAAATAGATGTTTTAGTGTATGATTAAAACTAAATTAGTATTGTATAATATAATTAAAGCTAATTATACATGTGTTCATTGAAAAAAAAAAATTACATTTCAATTTTTATATATTTGCAACAAATTTCAGTCATGTCTCACTTAGAATCTTATAGTCTAAAGAATGATTTATTTTTTATTTTTTTATTAGACTGTAGTAGCATTTCCATTATTTCACAAAATATGTAATAAACAATTTTAAGCTGCAGATAGATATTTGTTAAGCTCTAACACAGCCAGTTTAGAATTATATGATGTATTATTAGTTATAATTAATCCCTACACTGTAAGTCTCTTAGAGATGTATGTACAATATTTTCAACATGATAAGAAATGGAAATTAGATCATTGAAATCTGTGTCAATCTGTTAATCAAGGTTACCTGATTTTCTTTCACTCTAACCAATTTATGATTATCGAACAATATTTGACGGACATATCATGCTGTGGCGGGGCACTTTGTTTTTCTCTGTGGTAACTCTTTGAAAGTTAGGAGAGTTGATTTCTTGATAATTCTACGGGAATGTAAATTAGGCAGGTCGATAGGTCAGGAGCTAAGAAGGCCTAATATTCATGAAAATATCATGTGCACCCATCTCTGTGTCTGACGCTTAGGAGGCCAAATATGCATGTAATTCTTGTGCGGCTACCTTTGTGTTTGAAGTCAGTGGGCGATGACTTTTGAAATTGGCATGGGAGTCCTTGTGTAATTTAAATCTGTGCTACATTAACAATGCAGGTTATACTGCAACATTCACGAAAAAGCAAACTTTATTTCTTAAACATCCAATTTCCTATCAATTCTAATAAAAAATCATATTATTAGTAATAAAGCTAGAATGTTTTTTATTTCATTTCAAAGTAATAAAAAAATATTTTTACAAATAAATATGTAAAATAAAAAAGTCTTAGCATTTGTGTCTTTTATTATTTACTTACACATAAGGATCAACATGCACACAGATGTATAATTTTCCCCTCAAAAGTACATGAAGATAACTTAATAATGATATTCCTAAGTATGTATTCATGGTATAAAAATGAGTTTAGCAGTTTAAAGATTGATTTTAACTCAAAGTTTTAAGACTATATTTCAGAGATTAAAAAAAAACATTTAATTGATTATATCAATAATCATGTGGGTACGTCTTATGTAAACTTCAGACGATCAACAAATTTTCTACCAGAGATTTAGTAATTTGATATTTGGATACTTCCAAACAATATAAGTAGGAGTTTTTGGGGGTGATTAGTTATGTCCATCATGACATTGTAATAATCATTAAACACTGATCCCCATATCATATCTCAAAAATTATCTTGACAGCAAAAAAAAAAAAAAAAAAAAAAAAAAGAAAAGAAAGAAAAATAAATAGTACTTGCAACACATGCAATGTTTGTTAATCCCTATAGTACACTACAGTAGTGGGATACTTTTAACCATGTCTGAGAGAAGACAATAATTTATTTTCTAATCAGTAATGCTGATGACTGTAATCAAACAATGATCAAGATACTTGCAAATTACAGACAAAGTTAGACATGACAATATATTTCTAAGTACAATCATCAGCTAGTGTAACGTTACACATTCAAGACATTGAGAATATTCGAACGAACGAGTACTACAACGTTAATTGTCATTGAGGAAATTCGAACGAAAGAATAATATTCGGATGTGTATAATTTTCTGACGATTATTTACTTTGTTAACTTGTATAATGTACTACTGAATATCCCCATCGACTGCTAGCTTTGCAAACACTTTACAGTGACAGAAATTCATAACATCTGAAGACACTGTAAGTCTGTTTATAAAATCAGAGGAAACGGGATGATCTTATACTAGATCTTTAGACTTAAAAAAAATCTATGATCCATGTAGTAACCACTGTATACAAAGTGCTAATCGAAAATCTACTTGATTTGGATCACTAGCTATATTGCTTTGGGTACTCTGATGCATTATGGGTAAAAAAGAAAATTCTGCAAGCAAAAATGGGTAAAAGTAACCTTAAGAAATTAGGAAACTTATTAAACCTTTGTAGAATCAATGTAAATATATTTGAGGAAATTTTTAAGTTGAAACATGTTAGAAATTCGATACCGTTCTCATTTACTAAGTTAAAATGCTATTTTCACTCATTTTGAATTATTTCAATTGTTCTTAATTTTTTCAAAGTATATTCTGCTGTAAAAGTTATTGTATATAAGTTTTCTCCTCAATTCACCCACGAAACATCATCTGATTTCTATACATTACGCTTTTTTGAGAAATTGAGCTATTCTTGTTTTGAGTGAATGCTATTATATGTTTGCAACATATTTTTGCGATTGCTATACCTTTTTCGGATCCTTTTTGTGTTTTGCATGAAATCAAGATTTATTGATTTTTGATAAAATTATTGCGATTTTAACAGCTTTGAAAACATATTGGCACTCATAATCACCGGAGAAACATTTATCAGTCAAAAGAAGTTAAACAGAAATAAATAATTATAGAATTTGATGAAATGTGCAATCATTGCTGGTGTTTGTGCTATACTTGATTTGCATTTTGTCGGGATTGATAAAGAAATGCTATGTTTGATTTGCATAGAATACTTCTTGAAGAATGGTGGCTTATATAGGGGAGGGGGGATATAATCCAAAGACACTTTCTCAAATTTATGTCTTTAAATAACTTACAATGTATTGATAAATACACGTTATATATTTTCACTAATGTTTTAGAGGTATGTAAAAAGGAAAATAAAGGCTTCACAAACTACTAGTATTCGAACTCTCTTCAAAGCTCATGATAGGCGTAAGACTGAATGCGTTAACCACTATACTCTACGGTGTCTTCTTGTTGGTTGTGTGTCAGTTTCTTTTAAAAAATGAATTGTTGAGACAAAAAATATTTTTCCACCTATTATTTAATTTTTCCTGGTTCGTTTTTTTTTTTTTTTTTGGCTTACTTCTTTCACCAAACTGTTAGACCTTTGTTTTTATACTAAATTTGATTACGAAATGCTCCGTTTACTTGATCAACACATAGGGCTCTCAGCGAGTGTGACCGATCAACAAGGGATGCTTACTCCTCCTAGGCACCTGGCCTGGGGGCCATAAAACTAAGACGAGATCTCAGTCTCACTTTTCCGCTATATATTTCTTTGGAAAAAATGAGATTAAGATCAAAAGTGAGCTTGTCTAAGTTTTATGGCCCCAAGGCCTTTTCCCATTTCTGGTATTCCGGAGGTCCGTATTTATGCCCTGCTAACATATTTGTATTTGTAAATTTTTCGACATAAATCAATGCTCATTATCCTCACTTTTTTAACATTCAAGAAATATTCGACTTTTAAATAGAATGGATGCAGACTCCATGTAGAAAAAACACAGTGGGTTTACTTTTCCGTCATATAAGCACAAAACTTAGGATAGAAACCTGACCCATTCATATTCAGAAATAAATTCTTAGGGCTGGAATCGTTTAATATTAACGTACGTACCGATTTACCACTAAATAAGTTTAAAAAACAATTTTCAATCAACATTTCTTACAGTACAATACTATTATATGAATCAAATATGTTGAAGATGACATTACTGACAACATAATTGTAGAAAAATCAAACTTTTTCGTCATAGAGCGGGTGATTGTCCTCGCCTTATACACTTTCTCTCTCTCTTTTATAAATCTATGATAACGAGATTATAGTGCAACTTTAGTAATATTTCACCTATTTTCACACTATCATCAGATATCAGAACTTAAAGCTAAGAATCTGAAACAGAGTCTATGAAAATTAAAGAAATTCAAAAAATTTATAGTTACGGAAATTAATTGATTATCAGGGATATGCTTTGATTTTTATGAAAAAAGATCCATGCATTTCTTCGAGAGATGTGGTACCCGTTTGTTTTCTTTTTATTTCATGAAAACATTTTTTAATATCCCATGCAATCTCTTCTTAATGCTTATTTGGCTGAATTGAAATTTGTAAATGAACGAAGCGGCATTAAGATTTGAAGCTGAATGCGTTTTAATCATTGTGTTTTCTTATCAAAACTTTGAATGCATATATATGCCACTAAATATTTACAAAACTATGTGTATATATCAAGTCAAAGAGTTGAAATCGATCTTTCAAATTGTTTAAGTTTTTACAGTTTGGTAAGCGGCATTAAAGTTTTTTCTTTGGTATGTTTTTGTTAATGAACGACTGTCATAAGTTGATGGAAAAAAATGAGAATACCGGTATATATGGAAGAATGTAGCTTGTCCACCAATTAAGCCGACCCCTTCCCCAACCATAAAGTAGGGTTTTTGTGTCAGGATCTTTAAATGTTATGGACAACATTGTATCCCCCCCCCTTTACAAAGAAATTTATGCTGGTTCCATCCTTTATTCCGGAATTTAAAACAAATGGAACTAAACACAGGCACGTAGCATCGTTTTTGAAAGTAGGGGGGGGGGGGGCGCAACCTGAAAAAAGTTTTTGTTTATTTACCTAAAAAAAGTTGACAAGCAAAAAAAAAAAAAAAAAACGGGAAATTGAAAATTGCTTAACTCGAAAATCCTATTTCGGGGGGAGGGGGGGGGTGTGTGGTTAGGGGCCAACTTTTTTCAATGCCAGCTTCCTTTCACTTCCACTTGTTTCCTACATTTCCTTGCTATCAATATACTGTGGTCAAAAGTGGGGGGGGGGGGGCAACTATCTTTTCAATGGACATTTTCTATAGTAATGGTAACGTTGGGGAAAAAAGTGGGGGGGGGGGGAGCCCCCCCCCCCCCGTTGCTACGTGCCTGAAACATATTGATTAACGAAATAAAAACGTCATTCGAGTTGTTTCCATTAGAAAATAAAAAGATACTTTCACGAAAGGCCACACTACTTTTTCTATAATTTATACAAATACATATGTATTACAATCACTGACTGAGCATAAAACGCTCAAGGTGGGCATATGACACATGGACCTCCTATGGACTGGGCCAAATTTGAATGTAAGAGGAGTCTGGGGAAGAAAATATTGTACAAGACTGTCGTAAACACAAGGTAACGTCAATAAATTATTTCACGAATTGCACTAGGCCTAATTGCTATATGTATACTCGAAAAAAGTATAGCTGTCATGACAACAAAGATAGCCTTCTGGATATTTTCTACGCAAACCAAAAATAGCTCCGGAAAAGTTGGGTAGGTGCATATTTGATGTGATTGTCAAGATATAACGAAGACCTTGTGGTCAAATTTGATAGCTAACGTTTGATTAGGATTTATATTAAACAAAACAATAAATGTTTTATTAAAGTAATGTCAAGAGTCCATTCAAGTGGCTAATTAGTCGAAAAATGATCATCAGATGCGTGAAAAATGCGTGCTACCGATATTTAAGGAAGGGAGGGTGACACAAAAACCTAATAATCTTTAAATATACCAAGAAGAAGTCTCATATTGGTTGAAGTAGTTTTATTATTAGTAAAAAACCATATATAAAAGACATTTTTTGTCTAAATGTGCAGACAGAAACTTCGAATGATCCAAACAAATATAGCTAGTGATCCAAATCAAGTAGATTTTCGATTAGCACTTTGTATACAGTGGTAACATGTTTTTAATGAAGTAAATAACAAATTCAATAATTCTAAATCTACTTACAAAAATAGAGCAGGTCTTTGTCAACATCATGTGGAAATTCCAATATCCTCATAATCTCTTGTCGCCGTTTTTTTTTTATTTTCCTTGGTTGGCATTGGGTAATTCTAGGGATATAATTAAAAATGCATCCTTCTGCACAGAATTTTTAAGAAGTGAATCCATAGATAGAATATTGCTGCTTCTTTTTATTTATTGGTTTATCTTTTTTTAATTTAAACAATGCACAGTTCACGAGCCAAAAAAAGAAATGAAATAAATTATCAGGCCAATTTTTTCAGATTTTGGTTGTTGTAAATACTACCATGGGTAATAATGTTAATAGACCCTTTCAAGGTTAATGGCCACCATCTTGGATTGGGGGCATCACGCGCTGTCGTCATTGTAAACAATGTGCGGTTGATGAAATTACTTGCCGAAATGTTTCCGTCTACTGGAGGCTTTCTGGTCAATGTCACACGAATCCACATTGGGGATTTGTGCAAAAACTATTTTTAATGACAATAATATGTGTTTAACCAATAAAATAACTTCCTGACATTAAAAAAAATGATGTTTTTCAGCATGCTTTTTACACAACACTGTATGTGCCATATAAGCGGTATGCGGTCATCAGGTCATGTTATATCGCGATTTTTTGCACTCAATATTTTCATTTCATTTATTATAAAAGTGCGATGAAAAAGTACATTTCAATACACTAAACATCCTTACTTGCAGAAATTTCTTGAAGTTTCTCCAACACTAATCCGCAGGCAGGAGTGCCAGTGTACTTAAGCGGCTCAAGCTTGTCATAATGTTGTAACGTCATCAATAAATGCGAAGGTGTTTCAAGAAGTATTTTATTTTTAAAAAATAAAATTATACTTAAAAAGTGTTGCTTAGATAAAAATATTACAGGAAATAACAATATTTTTTAAAATGTCATAGAATATTAATGAAGTAACATGTTAGTGTACACAAGTGACGCGCTGCGCAAGGCGGGAATATTTGGCTGGCATCTATAGATATCGAGTAGAGTGTCTTGTGTTGGGTAATTATAACTTTTGTTCAATGAAAAAAACATTAAGAAATGTGTGTGAAGTGATTTCTCACGAGAATAATATCAATAGATACATTTTCCTTCTTTATGAAGTACAAGTTCCGCGTATGTTGTAGCAGCAAATGCAAAGGGGGCGGGGCCTTTTTAGCGATAGTGAAATATACACTCTGTAAAGAATAATAACCATGCTTATATTTGAATGTATGGGTTTTCTCTCCTTGTAATTATAAATACTGGCACAGAAATTCCACAGAATATTTAATCAGTAATTTATTATTTTAATAGAAATTCCTATAAACAGTACATCTGTACTGACACAGGTCTGTGCAACCACTGTAATGCATGATATTTTTCTACAGTTTTCTAAAGAAGTCCTGTTGATGCTACTTTGCAGTGGACAGTGTTACTGTACTTTATGCAAGAGTACTCAACATGCCTGTAATATTAAGATTGAAAATTTTTTAAAATTCAGAGATATTCAATTTTTTTTTATTTTAATAACAGATTTTTAAAAGTATAAATACAAAAATGTACCATGAGAAAATAACTAAATTTATATGAAATAAATTATACAGCTTTCCGAAGATGCCCTGCTTGTTGCCACAATGCAGTGGACAGTGTTACATGTACTACTCTTAATGTAAGAGAACTCAAAATACATGTAATTAAAATTGAAAATAAAAAAAAATGCAGAAATATTCAAGTTTTATATTTTAATGACCAATTTTTTAAAAGTATTATCACAAACATGTACAATGAGAAAATAACTAACTTATGATATAAATTAAACAAGTTCATCATTCTAAAAATGTAAACAATTTTATTTAAATAATGTATCAACTTCATTTCTTTCCAGACTGAAATAAATATGGACATAAGCCCAAAAAATATGATCACATGTGCAATGTAACTTGTTATATTTCATTGTTTTAATGTAATATTAAAATTACAACCAGTATCAGTGAGCAAGGGAATTTTTAATATTTTGTTATTCAAAAGCACATACTGTTTTCATAACCAAAAATGTTTTGAAAATCTTACAAAAATCAATATGTCAATGGATAGCATGTTTGAGGAATTTTCCTCCATGACTATTGGTCAGTTAAAAGACTACCTCAATATTAGAGGTTTAAAGGTGTCAGGAGTTAAAAACGAACTCGTCTCAAGGGCATCTGTTGCATGGGAGCAGAAGGTGTCCCCTAAAGTTTCTGAAAAAGAGCTTCAAAAAAATCTTCAGAGCCACTATATTGAAAAACTTCAGAAATACAAAATACCTGAAGATCCAAGGTCAATTCCACTGTCAAAGTGGCAATCAGATGTCAAATCTTTGCCAAAACTAGATCTAGGCAACATTTTTTCTTTTATTTTAGAGAAAAAAGAATTTGACATTGACTTTGTGGGTAAATACAAAACCCATAAAGCATTCTCCTACTGGAAGTCTGGGTTTGTTGATGAAATATTAACATACAACTTCTAAAACATCAAAATTCTTCGATCAATGGTTACTCCATCACAAAGTATAAATAATGATCCAAGAGAAGTTTGGATAGCATTTGATATTCAAGAGGAACAAATTTTGACAAGTTGGTGTAGCTGTATAGCAGGTATGGCAGAAACGTGTAACCATGTAATAGCTACACTTTATAAGGTAGAATATGCCAATACCATGGGGTTTACAAATCCATCATGCACATCTCTACCATGCAACTGGAATGCATCTACTAAACGTAATGTCCAACCATCCAAGGTCACTGAAATGAATGTCAGGAAAGACAACAGGGTCAAATCTACAGAAGATCAAGGTCAGAAATCTATTATTTCCGAGATGAAAACCTCATTTGATCCAAGACGGATGGATCACAGGAAGGTCACAGAAGAAGAAGTAAACAATATGTTTAGTAAGCTGTATAGTGTTACTCCAAGGTCAGTTGTATTTAAGGCTATTACATCAAACAGTCAGAAGCCTTTTATGCCCCAATCATTAATTGATATTGGAACCAATTATACAGATTCCGCAGAAAAGTTCATTGAAGGCTTGCCCCTTTCAAATGAACAGGTTATCCTTGTTGAGCAGGCCACTAGAGATCAGGCCAAATGTCCACTATGGCATACCCAAAGAAAAGGGAGGATAACTGCTTCTAGTACCCTAACAGTGTGTACAAAATTTTCTACACTATGAAAAAAAGGAAGCTCCAAGGTCAAAATTACCCCCCTTGTGAAAAATATATTGCATGGTGGAGATGACATCTCTTTTGTTCCAGCTGTTAAGTATGGAATAGAAAAGGGGGATACAGCTAGAGTAGATTTTTTAAAGCTTGAGTCCTTAAAGCACTCCGGTTTTTCCATCAGAAAAGCAGTTTTATATATAAAACCTGACATGCCATTTTTGGCAGCCAGTCCCGACGGCATCATTCAGTGCAACTGTTGTGGAGTGTCTGTCCTCGAAATCAAATGCCCCTACGTTCTTAACACTAACAATGTATTTGTGCAAGAAGGTTGGCATTTGACAGATTTCCTTGAACAACAAGAAGGAAATCTGGCTTTGAAATCTTCACACAAATATTACTACCAGATTCAAGCACAACTTGGTGTCACTGGTCTGCAGCAAGCTTTCTTTTTGGTGTGGTCAGCTAAAGACACACTAATTCTAAAAGTAAAATTAGACAAAAAGATTTGGATGGAAATAGTACAAAAAGCATCCCTTTTCTTCAAAATTTACATTGTCCCTTATCTTTTGGGCACAACAAATTTGACATTTTGTCCACTATGCAACAAACTTTGCTTAGATGGCGATGAAATCATCGAGTGTGGAGATCACAGCATTTGTTGTGATAACTGTGACCTTTGGTTTCATTGGAAATGTGTAGGGGTCAAAACAGAACCCACTGCTGAAATATGGACTTGTAATGCATGTGCTTCATAAGACAGAGTGCTTTACAGAATTGAAGTTAAAACATCATTAAAAAAATTGTTTACATTATCATCTATACAAATAGAGTACATTGTACATGCTTTACTGTGCCTAGTCTAGGTATTTTTTACTTCTTTAAATACTGAGTAGTTAAATCATATTAAAAATGTTTTTTCCCTTGCAGATCACTGTACCCTTCCTTCAACTTGATTTAGTTTATAAACTTCTATTTATATATACATGTATCTCAATAAAAAAAATCATGTCCTAGTTAAGTCTGCTAGTATCAGAGGGTCAAATTTCATCTTTATATATAATTAATATTCAACTAAACAAACATGGGAGGAGGTGATAGGTGTGCAGTTGGTCCTTGCAACAATGACAAGAGATATCCCAAAATATGATATCAAATCACATGTTCATACTCTTAAATTTCATAAACTTCCATCTGATGAAATTATGAGGAAAAAATGGAATTCTCAAATATTAAAAGGTCGTCAGGATTATATTCCAGGCAATGGCATACGTGTATGTTCAAACCACTTTTCAGATGGTATGCCCACCAGTGAGAATCCCTATCCCACTTTGTTTTTAACCTTGTCTGATGCCACCAGTGGGACAACTCCTACAAAGAGAAGAGAAATTAAAAGACACAATAATAAAAAGTTCATAGTAGATTGTGAAACTAATTGCACTCTGCAAAGTACGTCGGAAAATGACACAGCAGATCATGCAGAATGTTCAAATGAATCAGAATTTATTCTTTGCTTTCAGTTTACTCAAATTACTAGAGATTCAGATGTTAATTTCTTTACAGGTCTGTCTACTACTCTAGTTTTTCAGACATTATTCAACTTACTCAGCTCAAAAGCCAAATGCATGCAGTACTGGAGAGGCGAAAAACAGACTACCTGTGAAATGCCTTCCAGATATGATCAAGGTCTTACCTTCAAACGCCCTGGTCCAAGAAGAAAACTATCTCTAGAGCTTGAGTTGTTGCTGGTATTGATGAGATTAAGACTTGGTCTTTTAGTTCATGACCTTGCATTTAGATTCAACATTTCTGATGCAACTGTCAGCAGCATTTTTTTTACTTGGACTCGCTTACTTCGTCTAGAACTGGGAAAACTCATCATATGGCCTACAAAACACACAATCAAAAGTGCATTACCTGAATGCTACAGAAGGTTTTACCCAAATGTACGATGCATAATAGACTGCACAGAAGTTTTGTTAGAAACACCATCAAGTTTAGAAGTTCAAGCTAAATGCTGGTCCGATTATAAGCAACACTGTACAGTAAAATTTCTTGTTGCAATTACACCAAATGGTATGTTTTCATATGTTTCTTCCGTTTATGGAGGAAGAGCAAGTGACCAGTTTATTGTAAAAGACATTTTTACAATCTTATAGAACCCTATGATCAAGTTATGGCTGACAGGGGTTTCAAAATTAAGGAGGACCTTATGATGTTGATGGCTAAACTTGCTATTCAACCCAGTACAACTGGAAAATTGCAGATGCAAGCATCAGATGTATCAGAAACTTCAAAAATTGCAAATGTAAGAATTTATGTTGAACAAGCTATTGGCAGACTTAAAACATACAGATTTTTGAAAAATGAATTTCCGATTTCATGTCTTCCCATTGTTGATGATATTGTTATTTCATGCTGTGCACTTTGCAACCTTCTGGACCCCCTTGTGGAATAAAAAAATCAATAATATATAGATACTATCTTATTAGCACATGTATTACATTTCATATTAAAGTTCAACTCCTGCTGAATGTAATTTCATATTGAATAAATATCAATCATTTGATTCATTTCTGGCAATGATTTTCATTAATCTTTGCCTTATAATATTTTCTGATTTCTTGCATTAAATGAGACTTTCTATCTTCACTACTTGTACTGCACTCTCCCCACCCTCCACCCCCTCCTCCCCTCCCCTTAGTAACCACTTGCATATCAGTAACCACTTGCATATCAATATAACAGTACTTGTTACATATATCTAACTTGCATGGTGTATAGACATACAACTAGCTTACAACCCTGTCTTTCATTTAGCCAGCTTGTATGGATTTACCATAAGCAACCATTTTGCATAAGATTTACGCAATTTAACAATTTGCATAGAAAATTCTACCAAACTTGCACAGATGTGTAAAGCTTTTCTATTTTCCATACTTTGCAGTTTTCTAAGATATCATTTGCACTTCAAAAATGCAGATCTGTTGGGTCATTATTTCAAGGTTGCATGTAAATTACAAATTGGTAAAGAATCATGATTTTTCAATTACCATTTTGTTTTAAAATTGGGATTAAATTATCAATTTTTTTGACATACCTGGTCGACAGCTGTAACTGGCATAATGTCAGTCCAGTAGTAGGCTGGCAATGGCAGATGGGTGTTTCCAGCTTTGCCCTAGCCAATGTCTTGTTGCAGTTTGTCGGCTATCTAAAATCAAAATAAAATTATTGGGTCGGGAATATTTGTGTAAGAGATAATTAACAAACTTTTTATGATGGCTATTATTTGCTATTTTAAGTTTTAAAATTTACATTGATGTAAATTATCAGTTTTTTTGGACATACCTGGTCGACAGCTGTAACTGGCAGAAAGTCAGTCCAGTAGCAGATTGGCAATGGTAGATGGGCATTTCCGGCTTTGCCCTAGGCCACTGTTTAGTTACAGTTTGTCGGCTATCTAAAAGCAAAATAAAATTATTGGTTCGGGAATATTTGTGTAAGAGATAATTGACAAACTTTTAATGATGGCTATTATTTGCCATTTTAAGTTTTAAAAGTTACATTGATTTAAATTATCAGTTTTTTGGACATACCTGGTCAACAGCTGTAACTGGCAGAAAGTCAGTCCAGTAGCAGATTGGCAATGGTAGATGGGCATTTGCCCTAGGCCACTGTCTAGTTACAGTTTGTTGGCTGTCATTAATAAATACAGTGATGTCTTGTGGAAAACTACAATAAAATATTGATTTGTGTTTACATGCAACCAACGACTTCTTTAAAGAACTCTAAGACTTACAAAGTGCTCCCTTTGTCAAGGTCATAAAGTCAAGGTTATACATTGATTAAAGCATTAACTTTATGTGTATGAAAGGTCTCTGTTAAAACAAACTGAACAAAGTTGTCCCTTTGTCAAGGTCATGTAGTCAAGGTCATATATTAAAGTTTAAGGTAAGGTCATCTTAACAAATAAATTGTACAGTTATCCCTTTGTCAAGGTCATGAAGTCAAGGTCATATATGACATCATGAATTTTAAGTGTATGGGCATGGTGGAAAGGTCATCTTTAAAAAAAATATTTGCCCTATTTACTAAAGGACCTTTTTTTTTAATTCTGTTTTTTAAACCCAATGTTTTAACTTCATATTTGGAAGTGTTTTGAGAACAAATTATATACTTAAGTTACCTACCCATTTTCTTAATGGTAAGTTTGAGGAGGGCAAACATTTTTTTAAGAGGACCTAAAACAAGCATCTTTCCAGTATATTGATTTGATTAAGACTTTGAACATTTGCCACCTTTCACCTTTGACAGTTAGCATTGCTGCTTTAGATAAAAGCAATAACAAACTGTACATTTTTTTTTGCTTGCTTATGAATACAGTGGACCCTCATTTATCCGGACGCTTTGGTTCCTAGTCAATATGTCCGGATATGTGAAGCATCCGGATATCTGAATCACCAGTTAAATAAGACAAAATAACATTTAAAAATTCCGTTCCGTTGAAAGATCGTCCGGATACTGAAGCATCCGGATATCTGGCGTCCGGATATCTGAGGGTCCACTGTAAATGCTTTGACGAGACTTTTCATTCCTCTCAGATAAGTAATTAGACCTCAGTAGGGTATATCACTATGTTTTATGTTTTTATGTGCACTTGTTTTCTAATGTGTGCATGTTTTTGTAGCATACTAATCCTTTCATTTCCTTCAAAGAAGTTTACTTTGTTTATATGTACAAGAAATGTACATGGAAGAATTTATGCTTCAGAATCTGTTTGTAATATAAACTACTTTATTTTGTGTTTTGAAACTGAAAGGACAGTTTTCAATAACAACACAATAATAGATGTATTGCACATTGTTGTTGTCAATATTAGTGAACTGTGACTACTAACTTTTTGGGTCAATGCTGAACTAAAGACAACAGTGTCTGCACCTGACCTAATCTGTGATGACACTTTAAAATACTAATTACAGGATAACTGCATGATTACACATAATTTTATGATATTATATGTGCGAATTTTCTTAAAGTAGCATGGCTAATATATAATTTGTAAGAATCTTCCATTTGGATTGACATTCCTTCACATATTTACATAATTTGAATCAATAGTACATATGCTATAAATTTATATATTGCAAGTTTTGCAACACTTACAAAGTTGGTCAAGTAGTCAGGGCTTGATTTTTCTCTCTCAGCGCAATGCACTACTGAGAGTATTTCTGAATGAGTATGGAATGATTCTATGTTTATTATGTGTATAACCAAACCTCTTGTGTATAAGATAGCTTCTATTTAAATACAATGGCCTACAACATTATTCATATTTATGTATATAATAATCATGAATGTTTCCTAATCCTTTGCTTTCTTTAGCATAAATATTACCTTTTAAGGCATTCTTTCTTTATGTATAGGCCTTTGTATTTACGGCTCTTGGCTCTCTGATACTGGTATGACTTGCTCTCAATGTTAACTTGCTGAAAGTGTGAAATATGAACATAGTTTACATTAAATAAACAAGTAAAAATGTACTTGTTTACAAAGAAATCGGATTATGTATTTGTTTTTATTAAAATCAATTACAAAAAATTGAATATATCAATTTTTTGTACACTATGTGTTTCACATGATGCTCATTCCCTATTGGGCTTGAAAAGTGCACCTCGCTGGGTCATATCACCATTTTCGAAGAGCTCAATATATTCGATTTTGGGGGTATGAGCCTAGATTTAACATTTCTCCGATTTCAAAACAACTAAACTCTAGCTCAGAAAAAGCTCAATGTTCTGAGGTGCCGTATTTATTAAATACAGCCCAAAACATGAACCATACCCATGGTTCTCAATGAGCATTTACCGACCACGTGCTTTTGGCGTCCTCGAATAAAAAGACAAAAATTGCAAAAAATAATCCATTTAAGTACTATTCAAGCTGAAATATATAAATTTCATTACCTGAGAGTCTTTTGTGCATAGTTATTTACAGTTGTTACGTCCAAGATAAACAACAAGCGGCGGTTTATTTTGCTGATCCGTTCTCGCTTCGCCTCGCGTCGGCCATTGTTTTTGTGACGTCAGCCCCAAATGTTTGCCCCCAGTCCAAGATGGCGGCCAATAACCTTAATAGGGTCTATTAAAATGTCCAATACCAAAAATGTTAACATTTTATATAAATGGGACATCGATCATGATCATTGAGAATATGATAAGAAGGAGGAGGGATAGGGGGGGTAGTATCTGTGTATCTCTAAAATAAAATGTTTCCCTTGAAATGTTAAGAAAACTTTATTTGCATGGTCAGCGTTTGAAAGTCCAGTCAGCAGTACATAGCCTCAATAAAGCCCCTTCTTCTTTTTCTTCATGGCATTTTGATATATTGTTAACCTTATATGATGTTCAAAATTGTATCATTCACCAAATATCCTTCATGTGATAATCAATAGCTAGTAACCTATAAAATTTTGTCTCTTCAAATCCCATTTTTGTGAAACGTAGAATGAAAAATTAAAAGCTATTATACGAGTATTCATTTTACTTTCATAAACATGATTCAAGTTCATATTTTTGATTTTTTTGACAAAAGTTTGTATTATCTGTCCTTAAGGGGGAAAATATATACAATTTTATATTTATTGTTTGCTATCAATTATGAATGGTGTAAAAATGGATTTAATTTTTAAATTGAGTTATGACTGTTACTATGACTATGAAAGTTATGACTTAATCAATCCGGAGGTTTAGTAAAGCATGGAGTTTGTTTTTCATGAGATTCAATTGTTAATTCAACTCTCTGTGTGTTAATATCCCTTGTGTATGTTTTGTTAGTTCCAAGCAAATTGTGACAGTTTTGCTACCTGGGGAAAACAAAAGGCTCTTAATTGCCTCTAGGTATATACATACATGTATCATACCCTATCGAGATCTGGGGTGAAGATATTGGATTTTTGGAATTAGCAAGGGGAGGGGGGGTAGGTTTAACAGCAGACTTAAGTTGCTTTATTAGTATTCAAACATCTACTGCAAAATCAAGAAAAACAAGTTATCCTACAGAAGTTGATAATTTTTTCTGTGAAATAAAATTCAGATGACAAATATCAAAAAAAAAAAAAATCCATTGAGCATAACTTAGGATCGACACCCCCGTCCAAAAATATAGTCCCGTCCAAAGTTAAAGCGTTTAGACGTCAACAGAGTCAATATCTCGAAGTGGGGTCTTGTGACGCGTTTATGAATATGTCCTATTTTTGTTTTTAGCTCACCTGAGCCGAAGGCTCAAGTGAGCTTTTCTGATCACATTTTGTCCGGCGTCCGTCTGTCCGTCTGTCTGTCTGTCTGTAAACTTTTCACATTTTCGACTTCTTCTCAAGAACCACTGGGCCAATTTCAACCAAACTTGCCACAAAGCATCCTTGGGTAAAGGGGATTCAAGTTTGTTCAAATAAAGGGCCAGGCCCTCATTCAAGGGGAGATAATTGGGAATTAATGAAAATTAGGTGGTATTTTTTAAAAATCTTCTTCTCAAGAACCACTGTGCCAGAAAAGATGAAACTTATGGGGAAACATCCTCAGGTAGCGTAGATTCAAGTTTGTCCAAATCATGAACCCCGGGGGTAGGGCGGGGCCACAATGGCGGACCAAAGTTTTACATAGAAATATATAGGAAAATTCTTTAAAAATCTTCTTCTCAAGAATAGCACAGCCAGAATTGGTCATATTAATATGGAAGCATCCTGTAGTGTAGATTCAAGTTTGTTCAAATCATGATCCCCGGGGGTAGGGCGGGGCCACAATGGCCGACCAAAGTTTTACATAGAAATATATAGGAAAATTCTTCAAAAATCTTCTTCTCAAGAATAGCCAAGCCAGAATTGATCATATTTATATGGAAGCATTCTCAGGTAGTGTAGATAAGTTTGTTCAAATCATGACCCCCGGGGGTAGGGCGGGGCCACAATGGCGGACCAAGGTTTTACATAGAAATATATAGAAAAATTCTTTAAAAATCTTCTTCTCAAAAATAGCATAGCCATAATTAATCATATTTATATGGAAGCATCCTCAGGTAGTGTAGATTCAAGTTTGTTCAAATCATGACCCCCGGGGCTAGGGCGGGGCCACAATGGCCGACTTAAGTTTTACATAGAAATATATAGGAAAATTCTTTAAAAATCTTCTTCTCAAGAATAGCCAAGCCAGAATTGATCATATTTATATGGAAGCATCCTCAGGTAGTGTAGATTCAAGTTTGTTCAAATCATGACCCCCGGGGGTAGGGCGGGGCCACAATGGCCAACCAAAGTTTTACATAGAAATATATAGGAAAATTCTTTAAAAATCTTCTTCTCATGAATAGCCAAGCCATGATCGGTCATGGGACTACTTTTGGATTTTTAACTTTTCAATAATAAACCAATTTCTACTTTTTCCTAGCGACAGTGCTCAGGTGAGCGATGTGGCCCATGGGCCTCTTGTTATATCAGTTAATGAGAAACAGCTTCTAATCCTAATCTATGTTTGAAATGTTCAATAGTCTCCCAAATCATATTTTTTAGTCATCTGAATTAGGAACTTGGGCTGAAGATTTTGTTCTTAATCCTCCGTCGACTCATTTGTAGTTGTTACCAAACTACATTTTACATAAAATCTCTTTTTCCCCTACGATCTGAGATTGAGAATTTTGTTCTCATCAGAATTACCATAATTTTAAATAGTTAAAATATTAGTGAACTTCATCTGTACCATGCATAATTGCCTTAAGGGACATACTGACTCTCTTATAAGAGAGATAACTTTCCAAGCAAAAAAAAAAAAAAAAAAAAAAACTAAATACAGTTCTGTTACTCATATTTTACTTGATCAGAGTTTAATCTTCATAAGCAGTTCTTTTCTTATATATTTTAGATTTGAACTTGTGCAAATAAAAATTTGCAAAGTAGCATCACCCACATTATGGCCATTAAAAAAAAAAGAAAACGTGATTTTTGAATGATGAGGCAATTCATAAAGTCATAATGCATTGATTAGTAATAAAATTACCCCAAATTTTAGTAGAAATTCATTCACCAAGCTTTAAGTTATATTTACTGCCATGTTGCCATGTTGACTAAAATTATGCAGTTTCAAATTTTCAGAATTCATAGAGCCAAAAAGACCCTATATGGCCCTTGGTCTTTCTTAAAATATATGTACTGGGGTAATTGATTTTTTGTTGAGGAATTTTAATATTTCAGATGATTTGGCTGAAATGACCTTTCCGAAGCAATATGAACTTTGGAAAATATTGAAAATTGAAACCCAAATATTATGTTTCACATTAGCAGAGATTTAATTTGAAATTTGTTCTATGTAATATTGATCACTAAAAATACGACACTATACATTCATAGCTTCCGAGAGTCCCTTTTGAATCTCTTTGAATACTGGCTTTAGGAACAAATATTTCATACCACTGTTAAAAATATTTAAATATTTAAAGCCATTTGAAGTAGAACTGAAATGTTTTGAATGCACTGAATATCACTATGTCTGTTGCATTTAATATTGATTACAAAGTACCGAATTGTATAAGGTTTAAAAGAAAAAAAAGGGTAAAGTTGGTGAATAAACAGGGGTATAGAGAAAATTCCTGTGTGAAAAAAATCAATAGCACTGGAGAAAAAATAAAGGTACTTATAGATATGCAGGGTAATATTGTATATAGTGTATCGGTGAAGTTTCAGTATAAAGAACATGATGTTCATGGAAGGTGGTAGAAAATTATCCATCAGTATATGTAACACTAATTCCAGCGTTCTTGTGTTAATCCTGTCCCGGCTCTGTTGACTCGGTCGTGTTTGCATTGGGAGGGGAGAGTAAGGACTTCCTTCAACGCGGGCAATTACTGAAGAGTAAGCTTTTTATTGGATGGATACCCAGGCATGGGCCCCATTTATAACTTTGTTTGCCTCTTCAGTTTAAACAGGCTATGATTTAGTGCGGAATATTGGCTGATATGAACTGTTTGTTTTCTTTCTGAGCTGGCCAAATTGATCGGGCCTGTTTAGGGTCGTTTTGTCGCACATGGTTTCCACTGGCACAGAGAAACCTTTTGCAGATAAGAAAAATTTTTGCCAGTTAACTGTGAGTGTGATAAGAATTTAAATGTGTGACTAACTTAGTTTTTTTTTTACTCATGAAAGTTTTTGAGAAATTTGATCGAAGTTTTTCTTCTTCATATCATGAAATTTGATGCTTTAATTTAAACACATTTATTGAATATGATCCTCATTATTGAAGTGCACCCTGTAGTTTTGCTGCAGTTTTGAAGAATCCTTTGAGTAAAAAAAATTCTGGCATGCAGATTTTAAAGCAAATATAAAATTTATTTATGAAAATTCTTTCCTTAGTCTCTTTTAATTGGAGGAATATGGAGGTTAAGGATATGAATTGAATCAATAAACCAACACTTTGGGTGTCCACATCCTTAAAGCATGGAAAATTTTTCTTTGAAAAAAAAAGCCAAATCCTGTATCTCAGGGTTATTAATGTGCTGAAATACCCAGGGATAGTACAGGGGGATTTTGGGTAACAATATTTCTGTCGAGGCTGGATTTTTTTTTGAATGGCGAAATGCCTTTGTTGTGAGGCTTGGAGTAGAGACGCTATCAAACAGGGTTATCTGGAAAATGACCAAATATGGAATGGTTTACAGGTGTGACAGATATTGCTGTTTGTCTTTGTAGACCATGCCACGGAGCTCAGGATTGCACAGGAGAAGAACGCAGAATGTCTGAACACCATATCAACCTT